CTGGTCTTTCTCCGAAGTCCGGCCTCTTAAAACCGCGCCGCCCTGAACAGATAGTCCACCCGCTCCTAGCACACGAGGCTCATCCGCCCAGCGCTGGGGCTACCCGAGGCGAAGTAGCCCCCTCCAAGCCATAGTCTATCTAGAGTACCTAGGCTAGATGGCGGCTACCTTGGAACAGTCTCTTAAGACTTTACATCTTCTGAGGAGGAGAGGGAGGAGAGGAGGAGAGAGAGGAGGAGAGGAGGAGGAGAAGAAGAAATAATAGGAGGAAGAAGAAGAAAGGGAGGAGGAGTGGGAAGAGAGGAGGGCAGAAGAAGGAGTGCCAGGAAGAGACGCGAGAGAATGACAGCGTCTGTGCGCGGCTACGCTGCAATGGTGCAACTGGCACTGGCATTAAACGAGAGGTCGAACTCGCTTGCCCGGAGAGGAGCGACCTTCGCACCCTCGCCGAACAGCCTCGATAATGGGCGCCGAGTCTCCACCGGCGACGACACCTCGGAGCAGCGCGGACACCCCGCGCGTGAGTCACCCTGCCAATCATTCGGACGAGCACACACGCAGCGCCCCACTCGACCACCACCCGCGGTCGGGGCGAATCGAGATCGCAACACCACGCCGCGACCCGTGTGAGCGACAGCGTTCGTCCTTGGGCGACCGCCTCGCTGCCGTCATCCCTTCTGCCCCCCCCCCCCAATTAGGACGTTCGCCTCCAGGACACGCAAAAAGAACACATACGCACATTCGTGGGAAACGTACTTGGGCAAGTTGAAGCGTGGCCGACCTGTGCACATTAAGAGTGCATCCCAAAAGAAACATACACATATACATACATACGTACATACATACATATCACTCATACACACACACACACACCTTGTTTAAAGGTCAAGTTGAATGCTCGCTCTCTGCCACGAGGGAGTCGTGTCTGAAGGAAGGAGAGGAGGTGGGTGGGGAGAAGGAGAGGGTTAGGGTGGGGAGAGGATGCCCCGGTGCGTGTGAAGAAGTGAAGTTGGAGTTGAGGTGAGTCGGGAGGGGAGGGGGGGTCGCAATGTCCTCTTCGCTGCCCCTCCCCACCAAACCGTCCCCACCTTGCACCCTCGCGTGTACACCGCCGAATACGCACCGACGAGTATCCCTAAATAAACACTCGGTCATGGCGATAAGATGGAATGGTAGGCACAGTCGCACGCACGGAGGAAAAAAATGGGAGAGGGAGTTATTAAATTAAATTGATTGATTGTTGGGCCCACTAAGCTCACCCCTAAAAATCACATTAATCAACTCTGCTATCTCCTTCCCTCCTCCTATCTATCTATCTATCTATCTATCATCCATCTATCTACCTATCTCTCTCTCCTCCCTCCCTCCCTCACTTCCTGCCCCCCCCTCTCATAGCTCACAAGCGAACCAGCCAATCACCCTTCTCCCTTCCCCCTCTATCCCTTCCTCCCTCCCCTTCCTACCCCCCCCTATCACGGATCCAGGATACGACTAAAGGGTTGAACGCTCGCCCTTTTAGCCGGCCTTCGTGACTGCGGCCCCGAGGCTTGTGAGGAGGAAGGGGGTGAGGGGAGAGGGAGGGGAGGAGGAAGGGGGGTGAGGGGGAGAGGGAGAGGGAGGAGGAGGGGGTGAGGGGAAGAGGGAGGAGGAAAGGGGGAGATGGGAAGGAAGGAGGGGGCGGATGGGGGAAGGAAGGGAGGAAGGTGGAAGAAGGGAGATGAGAGGTGGGAGAGGTGAGAACGTTGGGGTGGGGCAGGAAGGGAGGGAGGGAGGGAGAAGTACGAAGAATGAGATGGAAAGGGAGATGGCGTTGGAAGGAAGAAGGGGGGGGAGGGGAGGGAGGGTGGAAAGACCTTTGTACACGCTCTCACCCTTGGCCCCCGCCGTCGCCCTTCATCCTCCGGTCACAGAAACCTCGTTTATGAGGATGATGAGTAGAAGAGGGAGGGGAGGGGCAGGAGGAAATGGAAGGAGGAGGAGAGGAGGAGAAGGAAGAAAAGGGAGGAGGAGGAGGAGGAAGAAGAAAAGGGAGGAGAAGGAGGAAAGGGGAGGGGAAGAGGAGGAGGAAAAGGGAGGAGGACGACGACAAAGTAGGAGAGGGAAGAGGAGGATGGGAAGAGAGGGAGAGGGGATGAGAGGAGAGGAAGAGGGAAAAGGGGGATGGAAGGAGAGAGGAAAGGGGAGGCAGGGGGAGGAGGGAGGGGGAGGAGGGAGGAGGGAGGCACAGGAAGACAGGTTTATGGCGAGTGCAAAAAAAGCAGGTTTCGAGGCCCGACCTTTGCCATCTTCCTCCCACCCACTTCCCCACCTCCTCCGTCCCCCCCCACCCCCCACCAAACCAAACCCTAATCTTACCTGCAAAGGTCAAATGCCGGAAAAGGAACCCGCCAGCGCACCCAACCTCGCTTCCCATCACAGGCCGTATCCACATCACATCCGCCTTAGAAAAAAGGACAACAAAAATCGGATAAAACCCACAGATAAGAATTCACTAACAAGCGCCATGTATCAAAAACAAAAAATGTAATAATATACAGGATATCATCTCTCTCTCCTCTCTCTCTCTCTCTCTCTCTCTCTCTCTCTCTCTCTCTCTCTCTCTCTCTCTCTCTCTCTCTCTCTCTCTCTCTCTCTCTCTCTCTCTCTCTAACCGTACCAACGCAAATAAATAATAAATAAATGGTCAGCCAAAAGCCCCATAAAGATAAAGGTGTCGAGTATCAGTACTCACGCACGCCCGGTGAATAATTGAGCGCCTCGGGGTGAGTAAATGTAATGGCACTACATCCTAGCGGAAGGGAGTGGAGGGAGGAAGAGGAGAGAGGAAGTGGGGTGGGGAAGGAGGAGGGAGGAGAGGAGGAGGAGAGAGGAGGGAGGAGGAGAGGAGGAGGAGGAGGAGGAGAAGGGGAGGAGGAGGAAGGGGAGCAGGAGAGAAAGAGGGAGGAGGAGGAGGAGGAGGAGCAGGAGAAAGAGGAGGAGGGAGGAGGGAGGAGGCGAAGAGGAGGAGGGAGGAGGAGGACGAGAAGAGGGGGAAAAAACAAAGGGAAAAGGAAGAAGAGTAAGAGTAAGAGTAAGAGTAAAACGAAGAGGAAGAAGAAGGGCTGCAGGGGATGGAAGAAAGAGAGAATGCAGAGGAGGATGAAGGAGACGGGTGCTATACGTCTCAAGGTGCGCAATATCTTCTTTTACGTTTCTTTGTTCAAAACGAAAAAATAATAACCCTGACCCAAAAACCGAACCAAGACCTACGAACATATGACCTGATTCTCGTTAAGAAAAAAGTAAAGAAAAAAGGTAAAAAAAAAAAATCAAATCCCCTTACAAAATGTGAATTTCTCCCTCCCGTGACTAAAGCATGCAACGTGCTAAAATAAAAGGCACACCACAAAAGAAAAAAAAAATAGGGAAAAAAAGGTTATCTACAAAAAAAAAAAAAAAAAAAAAAAAAAATCCTCGGGAATATCCATCCGCAAGAGGGGGCAAGAATGCAATCAACATAAACTAGTGTGTTGATATCCCACGGTCATGCAATCTCCTGTGCAACCTGTGCAACCTGCCGCCGTCCTGCTTCTGGGATCAATATTCCCCAAACAGAACAAAAACACACACATGCATGCATACATACATACACACAGACGCACAGACACACACACACACACACACACACACACACACACACACACACACACACACACACACACACACACACACACACACTTCCTCCCTTCTCCCTCCACCCCTCCCCCTGCCCTACCCTCCCCAAAAAAATCCAGCAACCCCTAAAAACGAGGCCATATATTGTTTCTAACACGGACTCTCCGTTTTCTTTATTAAAATCTCCTGTGGACCCTAACAAGGCAGACGAGAAAAGATAGGACTGTATTTTTCGTAGGTGACACGTATGCAAATATATATATAAACATGTACGAATGAGTATCTATGCTTATAAAACATGTATGTATGTGTATGTACGCATATATTTCAGTATGTTATGTATGTATTCACGCATGCATGTAAGTATGTACTTACGCATGTACGTCTACACTAAAGCAAACCCCAGCGCCGAGTCCCCGCGGGGCCGTATCCGAAGCGCCCCGCGAGACGCCCCCAGCGAGCCGCACGAGCCACGGGCCCGTCACGTGGCACCTCCGTCGACACTATCTAATCAAACCTTAATCAACTAATGCACGACTCGCTAGACCTATCATATCAACCTCAATGACACGCACATACGTCACCCTCTTCTACCTGTGTGTACCTCAAGGGGTGCGTGTACCTGGCATGGGATAGGGACCACACACAGACAAGAAGGATGGACGGATGAACACACGCACAAACAAACAAACAAATAAACAAACAAAAAAAACACTAATGCAGTGAGCGACAGAGAATTACGCAACCGATTACCTTCTATAAGAAAAGAGGGGGATTTCCCAGACGCGAGGCCACATCCCCTGCGGATCCATAGCACTGACACGCACCCGAGAGATAAATACAAGGAAGAGAACTACCGCACTACACCAAAGAGAAGGGAAGGAGAGAGACGAACGAGAGAGAAAAAAAAACAGATCAATAAGTAGAGAAGTAATGAAGACGGAAGAAAAATAACGCAATAACGGGAATCGTTCATGTCCTCTCCCCCTCGGAGCGTGACTCTTAAAACTGCTGCTGGGACCGCATGAAACAACTCAATAACGGACAAATAAACAGACCTCCCTTCAGACCCCCCCCCCCCCGACCCCCGAAAGGGCCCGGCCAATCCCTGCCAAAGAGCCATATCCAACCGAAGCCAATAGCGCGCGCACAATCCAAACATGCGGCGGCACCCCCATCAAGGCACACACAACACCAGCATTCAGCGCACCGACAGCGCACGCCATTCACACCTCAATACACCACGCTACTCCCCCCCCCCCCCTTCCCCTCCCCCGTCGACACACATAACAATCGCGTATTGACACAACAAAGGCACACGGGCGGCCGAGACAACACGGTCCCACGCCCGGCTCCTTGGGGACAGGGTGCCTGGCGCAGGACTCACGCGCGGGGCCGCCAGCTGTGCTCGGGCGCGCTCCCACTCGGACTGCGATCCTCACCTGCAACAGGAGAAAAAGGCGGGTTAGAATATACGCTAAATAGAATAAATGAAGAGTATAAAAACAACAATGTCCATCATACATTCCTAGTTTTAAACATTTGCCCTTCATCTTATAAAAAGAAAACGATTTCTTTGCAAAATTACTACACCCCGACTTCGCAGCCCACGCGCCACCATTCCCGCCCGAACGCCAGCCCTGCCGCCGCTCGTTCGGGGCCGCGCGAGCACCCGACCAACGACCCCCGACCCGCGACGCACAAAGGAAGGGCGGCGCGGCGTCACATCTGAGCTTCCACAGGATGCCCGTATCAGCGTCTCAGATAACCGCGCCCGTGATACCCTGCTCGGACACCACACGCTCGAGGACGCGCACGCGGGAGGGTAGGACAACGAGGGGAAGAACGAGGCAACCCACGGAGATTTCGCGTTCTTCCCTTCGTTGTTCAAGTGCAATTTGTTCAACATCAACCACACAGCTTTCGAGCTTCAGACCCACACAACAAATCACAAAACAAATAAAAACACCAACAAATTCATCCACACCCAATAAAAACAACCCTAAAACCGAACCGAAATTCAAAACCAGCCCACACCCCACGCCATCAGACACACACATCACATCACCGAAAAAAAAAACACGCACGCACGCACACACAGACTCTTGACCTATAAATAAAAACACATCCCAGCAACCTCTCCCTCCCTACGTAAGCCGTCCGCGCGCCGAGTCAAGGCCGCGGCTCATCCAAGTGCAAACAACAAATCAAGGGCAAGTGGGCAGCCCGGCCGGAAGCTGCGTGTAACCCGGAGCGAAGGGCGCAGTTGGAATAACACGAAGCTAATACTGTTGGCGACTGTGTGTTTGGGGAGACGGAAGCGGGAGAAAACGAGAGAGGCATTTTCCGATGTTGTTGTTGCGTCTCTGATAATTAGAGAAACAAAAAATCCCCGACGTTTTCGATAAAAGAGGAAGAGATGACGATAACTCCCGGGAGAGCGCAGCGACACGACACATCCGCCTTCGAAAAAAAAAAATAAATAAAACTATCCCTCCCCCGACAAAACAAAACACAAAATACCCACCAAACCAACCAATCCACACACACCACCACATTAACAGCACACGCAACCCCAACCCGACCCCCTACCTTACCCCTCCCTTCACACCCCCTTCTCGCAAACAAAACAAGACGAGACAACCCAACCCAAAAAGACACGAGCCAAGCACAGCTGATTGGCAAGAGCAAAGGCATGTCTCAGGTTAACGAAGGCATTCAACCCAGGCCAAAACATTCGGTAGCGAGCGGCCAATTAGCGCCGCGTAACGCGCTCGCACAGCACGGAGAACAAGGACGCTGGGATGGGATCGCGGGTCGGCTGCAGGAGGACGAAGGAGACGGATAAGGAGGGGAGAGGGAGAGAGGAAAGAAGAAAGAGAGAGGGAGAGGAAAAGAAGAGGGAGAGAGGAAAAGAAGAGGGGAGAGGAAAAGAAGAAAGGAGGTTGGGGGAGGGAGAGGGGAAAGAAGGAGAGGGGAGAGAGGGAGAAGAGGAAAATGGAGAGGGGAAATGAGAAAGGTAGGAGAAAGAAAAGAGGGTGACAGAAAGAGAAGGAAAGAGAGACGAGAGAGGACAAAGGACAAACAGAGGGGAGAGAGAGAAAAAAAGAGAGGAAGGAGGGGAAAAGAAACTTTCCCTCTCTGAAAGCACCGTGACCCCTGACCCTTTTACCGTTGGCACAAGGGTGACAGGAACGATCCGAAAAATAACCGCGATACCCCCCATTTTTTACACATCAAATGAATAATAATAATAATATTGCTGCCCAGGATGATCGGAAGGATAATATCTCTTAGAACCCAACGGAAGGCGAATAAACTAACACCACACTCGCTGGCGCCAACTTATTGCGGTTGGCGAAAAAAAAACATGATTTGTATAACGGTAATCCAAAACTTCAAAAACATGAGTACCAACAGCTGGACTGAGAAATGACGTCACAACCAAACGATAGACAGGAGGAGGATAATAAGGAAAGAAAAACACCAAATCTACTGACTGACTGACAGATAGACTAATAAAAAAAATCCGATTTATATAGATCTTTCAGGAAGACAAGGTGCAGAGCCAAGTGTCATCGGGTGCACCTGTGGGGGTAAGGGGTAGTGGGTAAGGGTACAGGGTAGGGGTAGGGCTGGGGGCATGGAAGGAGGAAGCGGGCATGTAGGTCAACAGGGGGAGAGAGGGAGATGCAATGGGAAGGGGGGGGGAGAAAAGGGAGAAGGGGGAATGGTGATGGAGGGAGGAGATGGAGCAGAGGAGAAGAGGGAGGGAGGGGGAAGGGGGTGGGAGGGAGATGGAGAAGAGGGAGAAGAGGGAGAGGGGGAAGTGGATGAGGACGAGATGTGGGGGAGGCGGGTAAGTGCAAGAATGGGGGGAGAGGGAGGAGGTGCTGCAAAGCGAGAACAGGGGAAGATGGCGAGGATTAGAGGATATGCAAAGAGAGAAGAGGAAGGCAGAAGCAGGAGGGGGAGACGTGTAGAAGAGAAGAGAGAGAAGGGAAGGAGAGGGAGGAGGACGTGAAGGAGGAAGATGATAAGGAGGAGGAGGAGGAGGAGAGGAGGGAGAAGTAGAAGAGCAAGAGCAAGAGGCAAGAGAGGGGGAGGGGAGAGAGAGAGGAGAGAGAGAGAGAGAGAGAGAGAGAGAGAGAGAGAGAGAGAGAGAGAGAGAGAGAGAGAGAGAGAGAGAGAGATTGCACAGAGAGAAGAAAGGAAGTGGAGAAGGAAGGAGGAGGGAGAGACAGGGAATTGTCTTGATGCGAGCTCAGAGATCAAAGAAGTTTCTTCTATCCGAGGTCACAGCATCCACGTGTGTAGCATTTACTTTTTTTTTTTTCTTCTGAAAGCTAGTTAGAATACTTATTTCCACTTATTTATCTAACTTTCTTTTTAAGCTGACTAGAATGCTTATTTTCCTTCCACTCTACTGCTCCTCTTTCCTGCACTGACAAAGGGCGCGATAATTTCTCGTCTCTAAATGCGAACTGGCATCTCGGAATGAAACTCCTGTCCAAAATTACCTGTGGATTTGTAGACGCACAGTTGGGGAGCGTTCGCATTTTCAGAAGGGAGAGGGCGGGGGGGAGGGAGAGAGAGAGAGAGAGAGAGAGGAGAGAGAGAGAGAGAGAGAGAGAGAGAGAGAGAGAGAGAGAGAAGAGGAGAGAGAGAGAGAGAGAGAGAGAGAGAGAGAGAGAGAGAGAGAGAGAGAGAGAGAGAGAGAGAGAGAGAGAGAGAGAGAGAGAGAGAGAGAGAGGAGAGAGAGAGGAGAGAGAGAGAGAGAGAGAGAGAGAAGAGAGAGAGAGAAGAGAAGAGAGAGAGAGAAGAGAGAGAAGAGAGAGAGAACAAAAACACCTTTTCGAAGAGAGATAAAAGATGAAAAACAAAGACAGAAAAAAGGACCAACACACGAAAATCACATAAAAAAAGAGCCAGACAATATTCCGAATGGCGCAGACATCAAAAGGGACGCTTCCTAAAAAGGTAACGCTCAAATTCTCTTGAAATATTTACACTTCATACACATTGCATATTCGAGATCCGGCGACGAAAATCGCCTTACGGACATCTCCCCCTTGCCTTGAGAGAAGGAAGGAAAGCGAGCGAAGAGAAAAGTCGAACGGAGACGAATAAAAAAAAAAGCTTTAGGATTTTAAAAGGTAAAGGTAGGAAGAGGAGGAAGGGATGCGAGGGATGAAGGAAGGAAGGAAGAAAGGAAGGAACAAATGAAAGACGGAAGGAAAGAAGAAAGGAAGGAAGGAAGGAAGGAGTATCAGGTAGGAAGAAGAGGAGGGCGAATAAAACTAAGAATCAAGACTAAGCACGCAAAAAGGGAAGGAACGAAGGAGGAAGAGAGAAAGAAGGAAACGAGAAAGGAGAAGAGAGAAAGCGCCCCCCCCCCCCCCGTAACAGCCCCTGACAGAATGGGGTCCAGCAAAGTCAAGCGGGAAATGTTGTTTATGGGGAGTAAATACCGTCACAACACGACACGTCACTCATGCTTAGCAACTGCACATCCCTCGCCTCCACTTTCCCACAACCTCCTTTGCCGACCCTGTCACCCTTGCAACCTTGCAACTCCAACCTCCAACCCCCCTCTCCAACTTCCAACCTCTCTCTCCTCTCTCCAACCTCCAACAACATAAAAAACAAAACAGGCAGATGGAAATACTTAAAATACAAAACATGAAATGCATATAAATAGCAATAATAACAATAATAATACCAATGCTAAGAAAAAAATACTTTTAAAAACGAAGGTAAAAAAGTCAAAATCACACGACATACAGATCCCATTAGGCTCCTTCCTCCTTGCCGCCTCCTCTCCTCTCCGCTCCATCCACCCTACACACGCCCCTTCCTTCCCTCCTCACCCCTCTACCCCTCTCCCTAACTCTCCCCTGTCCTTCCCTCCCTCTCTCCTACCATCCCTTCCCCTACCCCCTCTCCTACCATCACCACCCCTTCTTCCCCTCCCTCTACCCTCTCTCCTTCCTTTCTCGCT